TGGTTTGGACAAAAATAGTGAGAAGTGGTCAGAGTCCAGATATATTTTGAAGGTAGAGCCCATGGATCTTCTGAGAAAAAAGAAGTGGAGCGTTAAGAGAAAGAAGAATCAGGGAGGAACAAGGCTTTTGACACAAGCAATGGAATCAGAAATTTGCCATCAACCAAAATGGGAGCCTGGGAAAATAGACTTAAAGGAGAGACCAGTTCTGTTTTAGCATCACTGAGCTTGAAATAAGCTTGAGTTATTAAACACTCCAGGAAAGATGTTGAATAGGCAGCTGGATATATGAGTCTAGGGTTCAGGAATACAAGTTACAGCACAGATTTAATATGGTGTTCTTATCTAACCCTGTCTTTTTAAGGACACAACTATGTACACAAATTGTCAAAGTGCAATTCCATAGGGCAATTGATTCAATACAATAGCAGAACAAAAGCAGGACATTAGGTAGTGTTGCTCTATTCTCGATATACTGTTGTCTACCCAGTGAGAAAAGCAGTCTACGTTGAGTACTGACATGACCTCCCTAAAAACCTGATGTCCCTAAAAAATCCAGCAGCAACTGCAGACACTCCAAAGACAACTGTACATTTACATTCACACCTCTACCTTTACCACCCTGATTCCCAATCTCAGGTTTCACTAATGATGTCAGGTTTTAGCCCAGCTGTCCCCAGCACCCTCTCACCACACAAGATAACATGCACTTGTGTGTAACTTACATACAACAGCTATGTTACGTTAACATGTTTGCTCAACACTGTTGACGCCTTAGTTTACATCTGCCCTCTCGACAAACTGAATCTTCCTCATTCCTAGTTTATCAGCTACAAAGCTGACCTGAGGTCCAAATTTTTTCCCAACTTTAAATGGAAAAAGTCTCACATTTTATACTCAGTGTACATACTTTAGAGATGGATTTTTTAAAAATCACTAACAACAATAAGCCAAAATACACTGTATCTAATGAAATCTGGGAAGGGAAGTAAAGATTAATTTTGAGTACATGTGAACTTCTGTTAGTCTTACTGCTCAAACTTTTTTTTTTTTTTAGTTAACCCAACACAATGTAAACAAGTTTAAAAAAACTGTTTAACATATTTCAGTGATGTTTACAAATCAGAATATGGCTATCCCACAGAAACAGGCCTATAATTATAACAGTTCAGAATGACATTGTACAGTTAACAGTAAAAAATATTCGCTGATATACAGTCCACATTGCCAAGAACCAAATACAATCAACCCTTGGCCCTAAGAATCTAGAAACTTTGCAGGTAGAAACAGCAATTTAATGACAAATAGTTGCTTTTCATTTTTTGTTTTTGAGGCGAAGTCTGGCTCTGTCGACCAGGCAGTAGTGCAGTGGCGGGATCTCAGCTTACCACAACCTCCACCTCCAGGGTTCAAGTGGTTCTCTTGCCTCAGCCTCCCAAGTGGCTGGGACTCCAGGCACATGCCACCAAGCTGGGCTAATTCTTTTTGTACTTTTAGTAGAGACAGAGTTTCACCATGTTAGCCAGGATGATCTCGATCTCCACCTGCCACCCTAAGTGCCCAGCCGACAAATCAAATGGTTTTATAAATGAAACAAGGCCAAATCCAATACTGGTCCTATGGTAGAAGTTTTTGTTCCACTTTTAAATTGAAGTCACAGTGATTAAAATGCAAAGGGGTAGCCAGGCCCACTGGCTCATGCTTGTAATCCCAGCACTCTGGGAGGCCGAGGCAGGTGAATCAGGAGGTCCAGAGTTCAAGACCAGCCTGGCCAAGATGGTGAAACCTCATTAAAATTAGCCAGGCATGGTGGCGGATACCTGTAATCCCAGCTACTCAGAAGGCTGAGACAGAGAACTGCTTGATCCCAGAAGGCTACAGTGAGCCAAGATCATACCACTGTACTCCAGCCTGGGTGACAGCAAGAGTGTCTCAAAAAAAAAAAAAAAAAAAAAAGCAAAGAGGTGGGCTAACATCTGTAATCCCAGTACTCTAGGGAGGCTGCAGTGGGTGGATCACTTGAGCCCAGGAGTTTCAGACCAGCATGGGTAACAAGATGAAACCCTGTCTCTACAAAAAAAAGAAAAATACAAAAATTAGCCAGGCATGGTGGTACATGCCTGTAGTCCCAGCTACTCGGGAGGCTGACATGGGAGCACAGCTTGAGCTTAGGAAGTCAAGGTTGCAATGAGCCATGACTGGCTTGAAGTCAAGGCCCACTGCAGCCTTGACTGCACCACTGCTCTCCAGTCTGAGTGACAAAGCACAACTCTGTCTCAATAAATAAAATGCAGAGAGGTACAAGCATGGCTAGCAGTCTAGTGAAAAGAAGTAACAGTATGTAGAAAAAGGCAAGACCAAGAAGAAATAATGTCATAAAGACAAACATGATTCATCTAACTCGCGTGTTTCAAGGAGAGAAAATATTTCAAATCAGGTGTTCTTATCCTGAGATCCACTGACTTGAAGCAACCGGGGGCTGAAGTGAAACCCTGATTCCTAAAGGATTCTATGACCCCAAAAGAGGTTAAGCGTCATCATGATGAAGACTAGTTCATTTTCATCTGTAAACCTACATGTACATGTAACACCATCTTGTAGTCCAAGTATTCACAGTACACTACTCCCTGCAAAAAAATTATTTTACAAGTGTTTCAGGCCGGGCGCGGTGGCTCAAGCCTGTAATCCCAGCATTTGGGAGGCCGAGGCGGGTGGATCACGAGGTCAAGAGATCGAGACCATTCTGGTCAACATGGTGAAACCCCATCTCTACTAAAAATACAAAAAATTAGCTGGGCACGGTGGCGCGTGCCTGTAATCCCAGCTACTCAGGAGGCTGAGGCAGGAGAATTGCCTGAACCCAGGAGGCAGAGGTTGCAGTAAGCCAAGATCACACCATTGCACTCCAGCCTGGGTGAAAAGAGCAAAACTCCATCTCAAAAAAAAAAGGGTGTTTCAAAGGCAATATAAGCAATTAAAAGACAATCACACCCAACATCAAAGCTCATAGATATGTAAAGATTTCATTTATATGAATATCCAAAATAGGTAAATCCACAGTCACCAAAAGCAGACTGGTGGTTATCAAGGATTGCTTGGTAAGGGCAGGGGGCAGTAACTGCTTAATGGGTACATAGTTTCCTTTTGGGATGATGAAAATGTTTTGGAACAACACAGAGGTAGTGGTTACACAACAGAAATTCACTAAATGCCATACAAGTTGTTCACTTTCAAAACAGTGAATATTTACGTTAAATGAATTTGATCTCAATAAGGAAACTAATAATAAAACCCTTTTGTATCTCCTGTTTAAATTTTTAAAACTGACAATCATACCGTGTTGTCCCTCAATTTGGAGCAGAAAAATCAGTGGAATAAAATGGGACAACAGAGACAGCAGAAGATGGCTTGGTGTGTTTTTGTCCCTCATCCTCAGGATGGGAGGAAACTGGTAGCAAGCATTGCCAAATGCCTACCACGTCTGGAGGTCAGAAGGGTTCATCTGCTGAGATATTCTTTTTAAGTTAAAATTGAATACTCAGGATTTTAACTGGGCACAGCTGACTATGCCTATAATCCCAACATTTAGGAGGCTGAGGTGGGAAGATCACTTAAGCCCAGGAGTTCAAGATCAGCCTGGGCAACATAGGGAGACCCCCATCTCTACAAATAATAGTTAAAAAACAATAGCTGGGTATAGTGGTAAAATGCCTATAGTCCCAGCTACTGGGGAGGCTGAGGTGGCAGGATCACTTGACCCCAGGTGGTTGAGACTGCAGTGAGCAACCACTGCCCTCTAGCCTGGGTGACAGAGTGGTGAGATCTCATGGTGGGGGAAGACATTTATATATTATACATATATATAATTTAATTTTAAAAACTCAAGATTTCTTGAAATCGATTCTTAGGACTCAGAGGAGGTTCATACAGCTAAACCTTCCATATTCTTGGGCTGTACCCAGAGGGATAAATGAAAGAAATTGGTACTGAGGGAAAAAATACAGCTAAGTGTATAGTTAAGGCTCAGCTACTGTTCCACACAAAGTTTAGCCTCAGTAATCATTCAAAATTTCCCTTATAAAACCAAATGTCAAAGTAAGCAGCCCATCCAAATAATTTAACAAAAATCAACATCTAATCTACTCAAAAAAATACTGAAGACTCAAGTCACTGCTTTTGTGAATTATATCACGATTAACTCATGAGATCAATAACTGAAGAAAAACTCTGCTCTCTTCTGTCTCTGTCCTGTAACAGCATTTCCTGAGGAAAATGTGACAAAGCATATGAACCATAACTTGAAGTATGGAATCAGCTGGCTACATGTAATCAGTTCCATAAAGTTTGCAAATATTTACTACATGACACTCATGTTAAAGTAACACCAGTATTTTCAAGGTCAGTATTATGTTTGTTCAACTTCTTGGAGTCATACATTTTTGTGGTATTTTTAACATCTGACTAAAGCTTCTATCATCACAAGATGCTCACACTGTTTACAAATACTTGGAAACAGCAGCTGGTGTTCCTCAGTTACATCTTGTTACAATAAACAGAGTAGCAGTTTTAAAGTCCAGGTATATATTTTACTATTGATGTGTAAAAACTTTGCTTTAACTTAAAAGTTTCCCCTGCCCTCAGTAATGGATAGACATAAACACAATTAATTGTGGGCAATTTAGCACAAAGTTATGACAAGATCACAAATACATAAATTTTTATGTATGCATACTTGAAAATACAACTATCAGGTTGAATGAATTAGATGCTAAATACTGACCTTGCACATCATACATATTTTGGAAGCAGAGTCTCACTATGCTGCCCAAGCTAGAGTGCAGTTGCTACTCACAGACTGATCATGGCATACTACAGCCTCGAACTCCTAGTCTCAAGCAAGAGGCTAAAACAGACATGTCAGCACACCTAGCTCTTTTTGTATCATTTTTTACTATCTTTTCCCATCCCATTCAAAAAAAATGCGGAATACAGAAACTTACCCACACAAGCATTGAGGAATAGCCAATCAGTCTTTTTCATCCTGTTTTTAATTTGCTTTAGTTTTTTGAAGTCTACTTCAAGTTCCTCCTTGCTGCCGACAGCACCAGCCAATTCAATCCTCTGAAAATCCATTTTCACTTCAGAGTCCCGCTTCATAGCAGGAGGTGATCTCCTTTGGCTATTACCACTACTGCAACTTCCCCTCCATCGAGCTCTGTCTTGCTCATTTATTATTGAAGAAGCTTCTTCAGTCTCTGCCAACTCTATTGCTTCAATGTTATTAGGTCTGGGATGATCACAAACAACACATCTTTTAGCCTTGGCCCAGTTTTCATATGTGCAAACAGAGCAAGTCCAGTGCTGTGTCCTAGTGTTCAGTTTATTTCTATCATTGTATTCCTCACAAGGATCAACAGAAAAAGCAACTGGTCTTGAGCCAGATCCTGAGGACTGAGGAGATTCTGTAGGACTCCTGGTCCTACGCTGGGATAAGCACTGGGTACATCTGATTGCTCTTGGCCAGTTCAAATATGTACACATGTGGCATGACCATTTATTTGCATTTTCCATGCTATATGAAGATTTAACCCTTGGTCTTGCACTGGAGTCTGGACATATCAAAGGACTACTTCCTCCTTCAGTGCTGGAAGGATCCCAATCTCTACCAACATCACTTGAACCACTTTTAAATGGATCTTCCGTAATAATTGTTCCACTAGGTCTTTGGGCACGACACATAGTACACTTGATTGCAGATGGCCAGTTTTCATACGTACAATATTCACAAGCCCACTTAATTCCACGTTCTGACATTGTGCACTTCTTGAAGCGAGTTGTGTCAGGCAGGCAGCTATAAATAATTAGGACACGGTTATTAAGAGAACTACATTCCACCTCCAAAAATATGCTCCCCAAAAAGCATACCCTTCAACCTACAAAATATACATTTCTCAAAAGAGGCATGTAACATTTCAATATTGAATTGTTCTAATTTCCTTTTTTGATTTCCATAGAAACACTGGAGATAAATTCCCAAAGAAAAAATCTTCCACCTTGGAATTTAAAAAAATTGACCTTTGGAATGCAAAAGAGATAGGCAGGAGATAGAAGGAGGTTTGATCCAAGAAGGATGAAGATTAAAGGGAAGCCACTGACAGAAATGTTTAATTTCAGGGAAGCCATCATATCAATTTACAAGAGTAACTAATAGTTTATAATGAGTCAAAGGTAGAGGAAACAACACAAAGTAAATAATAACTTAAGCATATAACCATTCTCGAATTATGAAAAACACAGATTATGATTCATGAATACAGAAGATCAAACATCAATTCTATCATTATTGCTAAGAGAGAAAAGCAGCTTAGAATGCTAATTATCCACTGTTCTTAATTAGCACAGGTAGTAAAGAAAGATGTCGAGAAGTAATGGCTACAATTAACGAAGTAACATTAGACAGTTCCTTGATATCCTGTAGCCTCAAAATCTAATTCTATCTAGAGCACAAAAAGAAGACTGTACTTGGGAAAATTAAATGCATGGAAGGTCACTGAAAATAACTAATAGCATAATCATTCCAGTATCATTGTGAATGTCTGTAATTAAAATATTTTAAATTTTGAATACTTAAAATATACTCAAAATCCAATTCATATTTAAAATATATTCACTACTTAAAAGGTTCCTAGGATTCAACAATGGGCTAATACTATACACTATAATGAAGATTTCAAGACTTAATCTTCAAGATTTAATGTCAGCTAACTGATAAATGAAGCAACTTACGTAGCCCATTTAATGATATTTTTTTTAATGGCTTGAATTTAGACACTGGCCACTCTTCATATAACTCAGTAACATCCCAACACCTATTTTTCACCAAGAAAGCGAAAGAAATCCTAGACAGAGTATAGAAGCTTTTCTCTCTCTTTCTCAGGGATTTTTTTCCTGAATCTAGAGGGGTTAAATCTTTCCCTTTTTTTTTTTTTGAGCTGGAGTCTTTGCTCTGTTGCCCAGGCTGAACTGCGGTGGTACAATCTCAGCTCACTGCAACCTCTTCAAGTGATTCTCCTTCCCAAGAGCTGGGATTACAGGTGCGTGCCACCATGCTCAGCTAATTTTTTTATTTTTAGTAAAGATGGGGTTTCAGCATCTTTGCCAGGCTGGTCTTGAACTCCTGACCTCGTGATCCACCTGCCTCGGCCTCCCAAAGTGCTGGGATTACAGGCGAGAGCTACCACGCACGGCCTAAATCTTTCACTTTTGAAGTATACTGAATTATATTCCTGCCTGCCAAGTCCACACCCCTTCATAGTGTGAACTCTGCTAAGAAGAAAAAAAATCACTATAAGAAAGTATACTACTTATGATAGGTGGTGAAATAAATTTAAATTTTATTTTTTTAAGTATACTACTTAATAGCTAAAATAAAAACCACACTTACTAAGATTTTAGTTCCCACGCTATAACCTCCACCTTGCACATGATTAGAATAAAAGTACGGTTTGCAAATCAGATCGAAGACAAGATTCCGTCTTCATGCTGGCTCAGATTCTGACTTCCTCAGGAGATACTGCAAAACGTGATAAGAGGTTCTGTCTGACTGTGAATAGCTATTCCTGTAAAGGAGACCAAAACTGAATTTCACTTGAAGCCTGCTACTTCAGCTAAAAGGTTTTTAAGGCTTTACTTTTATCAATTCTCTATTTTAATCCTACTCACTTATTTTAACAATGAACAACTATATTTACAATTTTAACATTAACAGAGCAATAACATTACCTAATCAACTGGGCTGGTCAGCCACATTAAACAGGGATGAGACATATAACCTTAATCCTGTGCTTGTGTATGCATGTCTAATATTACCATTAATTTGGAAGTGCTAAGTTAATTCCTACCTGTATTACTTCTATTACTAAAAGGGAAAAGATGACATAATCCAAAAAAGTATAAAAAGAAAAACCGCTTATATTTACCAATGAAACCTTCAGCAACTGCATTTTTCCCTGACCCAAGTAATATAAAATTATCTTGCTTAAATTTTTAAATTTGGTTTGTATACTGATTACTTACAACCTGACAGCAGCCCAAAATGTGTGGAGGAGCAGCGATCTATAATCATATAAGCATCCAAAAAGTAGACAATACAGATGTAATGACAACTTTCATACTCCTTAGGCAGCTTCTTTTAGTTTCTCAGGAATGAAATATAAGTAAGTTACTTGCTCATGCTATTGGAAATGAAAATGAGCATGTAGAAACAAGAAGACAACATTATGTCATTATGAACATATATCCAGGACTACTCTAAGTGATTTCAATATTTCCTCTAAAATATTCACATTCAAAAATCCATGCTTGTTTTAGTACTACAACTAAACAGCCCATAACCTTACATTACCATAACTAATCCTCATGGTGACTAACGTACTGGCATAATATATTTAAATGTCCAGGCTAATTTCAAAAATAAACAAAAAATTGCCGTAAAAAATAATCACTGTCGCCAGGCACAGTGGCTCATGCCTGTAATACCAGCACTTTAGGAGGCTGGGGCAGGTAGATCACAAGGTCAAGAGGTCAAGATCATCCATCCAGAGGCCAACATGATGAAACCCTATCTCTACTAAAAGTACAAAAATTAGCCAGGCATTGTGGTGTGCACCTGTAATCCCAACTACTCGGGAGGCTGAAGCAGGAGAATTGCTTGAACCTGGAAGGCTGAGACTGCAGTGAGCCGAGATTGCGCAACTGCACACCAACCTGGCAACAGAGCAAGACTCCGTCTCAAAATAATAACAACAATCATTGTCATATGTGCCTGGTAAAATAATGTCAGATAGCTGCCTAATTAGCCTACCACCTCTGAAAATCCAGATAACTAAGCAATACCAAAACCAAGATCAAGAGTTTTAAGAGATGTGTCTTATATTAGATGATAAGCACAGTGGCTCAAGTCTGTAATCCTAGCACTTTGGGAGGACGAAGTGGGAGGATCGCTTTAGCCCAGGATTCAAGACCAACCTGGACAACACAGCAACACTCCATCACTACAAAAAAGAAAAAAAAAATTTGTTGTTGAGACAGAGTCTCACTCTGTCACCCAGGCTGGAGTGCAGTGGCACGATCTCAACTCACTGCAACCTCCACCTCCCAGGTTCAATTATTCTCCTGCCTCAGACTCCCAAGTAGCTGGGACTACAGGCATATGCCACCACACTCAGCCAATTTTTATATTTTTAGTAGAGACAGAGTTTCACCATGTTGGCCAGGCTGGTCTCAAACTCCTATCCTCAAGTGATCCACCTGCCTCGGCGTCCCAAAGTGTTGGGATTATAGACGTGAGCCCCCACACCCAGTCCCTCCAAAAAAAAATGTTTTTAATTAGCCAGGTGCAGTGGCTTGTGCATGTATCCTGACCACTTAGTAGGCCAAAAGAGGAGGACCATTTGAGCCCAGGAGTTCAAGGCTGCAGTGAGCTATGATTGTGTTACTATAACTCAGTCGAGATGACGGAGTAAGACCGTCTTGAGGGAAAAAAAAAATGGGTAATGATGTACAGTGTCCACTCTAAGGGAACTTGAAACGTTGCAGGAATGCTGTTTAGTAACTGCAAGCTAAAATTCATTGAAGAGCAGCTGAGCGTTCATGCCTATAATCCCAGCATAGGAGGTCTAGGTGGGTGGACTGCTTGAGTCCAAGAGTTTGAGACCCACCTGGGCAACATGGCAAAACCCCCTCTTCAAAAAATACAAAAATTAGCCCAGGGTGGTGGCACATGCCTGTAGTCCCAGCTACTCAGGAGGCTGAGGTAGGAGGATCACTTCAGCCCAGAGGGTTGAAGCTGTAGTGAGCCATGAACACACTATTGCATTCAGAGACCTTGTCTCAAAAAGAGGAAAAAAAAAGAAAAAATTCTTTGACGATTATCTGAGATAACCATATCTACCTGTGGTAATTGGTAAATAGAATGGAAGAGTAAAGATAACATCAACTCAACCATGTGGATTTTTTTTTTACAATATTACTAAGAAATTAACAGAGTACACTTTTTCCAGATGTCAAAACATTCCAAAAAGTACAAAAAAATTATTTCCAAAATGGCCAGCTCTAAAAGTTAATACTGTACCCTGAAATAAAACTTACTAAATATCACTTTAAGTGTTAAATATATTAATACAACCAAGTAAATTTAGTTTACAAGTTTAATTCTGCATGCAAAGCAGATTTGCAAATTCTATCCAAGGACTCAAACTTCAATTAATTGGTAAAATAAAACCACAGTAAAATCTATATAATCTGGGACTTCTTTAAGGAGAACTGGACACAACTGCTACTCTTAAAACAAATATTCCTTGGATCAAACGCAATACCAACAGTTTCCATCCTGTGGACCAAGGAAACCAGGAATCCATCTGTGTATCAAGCTCTGCCAGTAGAAAACATCTGTAAATATATCAACCATTTACTAGTATTAAATTTACTAGTACTAAATTCAAAACTGTTTTTAATTATATACTTCCCAATTCAGATAATAATAAAAATATACAAGTATTATGGTGCATGTACTAATAATAGCAGGTGGAGGAAAGGGACCAATTGCTGAACACTTTCTATATTGTCATGTTGAATATTTACAAAGCATTACTAAACACTGTATAAGAATTATATCTATATTGAAGTAAATTCCTCAAAATTATAGCTATACTACAAACTTCCCTGACCACCTACTAAACAATCATAGAACACTAAAGAAGTGAAATAGGGGTCTGTCGGGGAAAATAGGGGAGGGACAACGGGGTGGGGAGTTGGGGAGAGATAGCATTGGGAGAAATGCCAGATATATGTGATGGGGAGGAAGGCAGCAAATCACTCTGCCATGTGTGTACCTATGCAACAATCTTGCATGTTCTTCACATGTACCCCACAACCTAAAATGCAATTTAAAAAAAAAAAAGAAGTGAAATAATTCTCATTAAGCACAAACTCCAGAAACAAACTGAGATAAGCTCAATTGCCAGTAGTTTCAGATGATGAGAAGTTCTACAAAGGAAGAACTAAACACAGCTTTAAACCGTGCGTGGTGGCTCATGCCTGTAATCCCAGAATTTTGGAAGTCTGAGGTGCGTGGATCATGAGGTCAAAAGATCGAGACCAGACTGACCAACGTGGTGAAACCCCGTCTCTACTAAAAATACACAAAAAAATTAGCCGAGCATGGTGGTGCGCACCCATGATCTTCAGGAGGCTGAAGCAGGAGAATCACTTGAACCCGGGAGGCAAAGGTTGCAGTGAGCTGAGATTGCGCCACTGCACTCCAGCCTGGGTGACAGCGGGAGACTCTGTCTCAAAAAAAAAAAAAAGACAAAAAGGCAGCCTTAAGGACTTTTATACAAATTTATACTTATTAGTATAAATATTTACTGACATAAATCTGTGGAGATTCACAAATGCTCAGAGAGCATCTTAGGGGAATAAAGATGAAAGCTAAAACTAAAAAAGGATATTTCAAGCATGCTAAATTTTCAGGCTTTTAAATATTACAAAGCAGTTCTAAATTATAAAATTTCTGTAAATCAAAAATTTTTAACTACTTCAGTCTTTTTTTTTTTTTTTTTTGGAGACGGAGTCTCACTATTACCCAGGCTGGAGTGCAATGGCATGATCTTGGCTCACTGCAACCTCCGCCTCCCAGGTTCAAGAAATTCTCCTGTCTCAGCCTCCTGAGTAGCTGGGACTACAGGTACACACCACCACACGTGGCTAATTTTTGTATGTTTTTTCGTAGAGATGGGGTTTCACCATATTGGCCAGGCTGGTCTCAAACTCCTGACCTTGTGATCCATCCACCTCGGCCTCCCCAAGTGCTGGGATTACAGGCATGAGCCAGCATCGCGCCTGGCCTAAACTACTTAAGTCTTAAGCCAAAAAAAATCGCACAGAGTCATCTCCTCTTTTCTCATCAGTATATTCTATTCCTTCATCACTGTCTTTTTCACAATAATCAACAGGAAAAACAACTGGTCTAGGGCAGGATCATGAAGATGATATGGTAAACCCTTTATCTACAAATCTAACCTCATTTCAGGGCTCCAACAGGTTATCAAATCCTCATTAAACTCCTAATCTTCCCACACCAAACTCCTATCTTGACTTCTCCAGCTTCCATTAATGGCACCATTAATACCTCTGCACTAGCAGAAAACTCAGGATCCCCTTAAATTCTGCCTTCTTCCCACAGATTCTTCCTAGTGGTTTCTATCTAGTTACTGTCTTCTCATTCCCACTGCCATCAATCCTTTTCCAGTTCAGGTCAGAACTACTATAAAAGCCTTCTAAGCATCTTCCCTTTCTAAATCCATCCAGCTGACTGATCCACAATTTTCTTTCTGAGGCTCTTCTCAAAAAGAGAAGTATGAACTCTCAACAACTTCCTGTCACAAACACACCACATGCTAACTCCCAAACATGCCGCACATGCCCCTGACTCATGCATGTGTCACCACCTGCCAAAAATATTCACATGAAGGTACTGCCTTAGATACAGAAGCACAACAGACACACTCATTTATAATGAATTCTACCCATTCTTTAAGGCTCAGTTCAAGGTCTCATC